CAACTTCGGCAGGATTATCTATGTTCTCGATAACGTACGAAAGCTCAGCTCAGGGAGTAGCGCGGTAGAAATGGTCACTTCCGAAAAACTTTTTTTGATTATCTCGTCAGTAGCTTGTGTATTCGCGGGAATCCGTAAAACGACGTCATTCATGCCAAAATGGGAGTTCATCCGATCAGTAATGTGACCCTTGACCAGGAGTAGGTTAGCAAGGCTTATTGGAGTTAGCTTCATCTCGATCACACCTGGGGCGAAATTCGTCACCGCGCCACAAAATTAAGCTGGCCTTACTGTAGCTGTTCGCAGCTCTCACTGGAGGCTCTACCAATGAAATGCTCACATCCTTCAGCTGAGGTATTATTGCGTACCTGTTTGGTGAGTATATTTGAAAATGACACCGCTGGGGTTCGAACCCGCGACCTACCCGTATAGTACGCACTATCCCCCCCATTATATTGGATATGTTTTACATGGTGAGTGTTATCATCTGGACTAGTCGCTGGGTTAATCGATGATACCGTGAATCGAATAGGAGCCTGCATAGGGCAGACTATACATAGTCCTACGGACGCTAGTTCAGGGTTGCCAACGAAACTGATGGCTACTACATTATAACTATCTGTACGGGCATTTCTGACCAACGACAACTGTCACCAAAATTTCCTCACAACTGTCACCAACACATGTAGTTCATCATGTGCATATTTCCCCACAAACTGATAAAAGGCCAACCCCAGGTCATGATAATAACACACATCATTATCGACTGAAACACCCGCGAGCGAAACCGTCAATCCTCACCGAAGCGAACAAGGCTCCCTCCAGATTAGTCCACGAAATCACATTAGCAGAGCATACAGGAGGACTCCGATCCAGGGCTGTAGATGGTGATACTCCTTCATGTGATATCAATGCATAATCCCTACACTCCTCCTTGCCTGTGAACAACACTGCCGATCAAATAAACAATAATATGAACTCACCGTGAATCTCGCTGAAGCTGAAGCCTCGAGGAGCTAGTAGCAGTATCTCGTCACCGGCCACAACGACGTCGGGAAACGACATGAGAAATTCTAAGCGGACTTCGGTGAGGCTGTAATGGGAGGACGCAGAGAGCATCTTGAAGGAGGTGGTGACGAAGTTTACGCTGAAACCTGAAATACAAAGACAATTAATTTTGTGGCGCATTGACGCGGTACTGAACTGTCGAATTCACAAGCCGCGAGGATGCATCGCAACTTTATGATTATTCAGCAACTAAATAGATATGAAAACCATGAGTGAAAAAGTTATTCCACATTTCACTTTGAGAAAAACGCATGTGATCAGTGAAAACACGTAATGTACCTCACATGAGATGGAGTCATAATTCGTGCGGTGTAATTCGCGAAGTGTTTTCAATTTAGTTCATATCGCGAATATCGCATTTTTTCAAATGGAATACCGCGCCACTTCGCGTAAAACGGGTGAAACTCCAAGAATAAATCTTAAATACGAAAATAAATACAAAAATATCACTGGAACAGAAATTTACAGTTACAATGACTCGAGGCATTGAAACAAACGTTAAAACAGACCCTAGAATGCCTATCCGAATTGCATACCTGGAAACTGCGCATAGTCTACTAGTGTAGAAGTAGTAACATCAGCCTGCTCATAAGACTGGAATGTCCACGAGTTCACAGGAGATATCGAAGTAGGGTTACTGACCATCATAGTTATTCTATAGACCATATTAGCGACCATCGATTGGCCAGCCAAGACCTGAGCATAACTCTGATGGAGAGGAAGCAACCTCGGCTAGAAGGCTCAACCCGGCCTTCAACCAAAATCTTGTGATAGACGATCACCATCTTCTCGGTTGACACCGAGAAATGGCGCGTGGTATTCCACATACTACTGTAGTAGATGAAGACTCTTTGTACTGCTACATACATCTAGTAAAGTGTCATTTATAGATAAAAATTAGAACTAGTGAAATTGGAAACAGCCATAATAGAATTAACGATATTTTTAATGACAATTAAGGTAGAGATAGCAGTAGAAATATTGGGAATAATGAGTAGAGAAAAGCAGTGTTAGAGAAATATATGTTTGCTTTCCTCGGTTGAGTTCAAGAGTTTAATCACTAACTATAGAGCTTAGGGTAGAAGTGTACAGAAACCAACACGAATTTTCCCCGGGAAAATCGGAAAATTTTCCCGGAATTTTCTCACAATTTCCATATTATAATCAACACACGTAGTTGACCAACTAACAACAAATCACCAACTAATCACGTCATGACTAACTAAGAGCAGGTGACCTACCAGTATCTGGCAGTCATTTAACGCTCTGGCTGCCCCTTTACACTCCACATCGATCGGCATACCTGTGTCTCTCTCACTTACTGTGGCCTCACATTCTGAGGCTATCAGGAAGCCCGTCGGCGCTTTTATCTACAACAACAAAACACTCAATCAAATAACGACTTTGGAGAACTTACTTCAATGAGGCCTCCACCCGGAATAGTGTTAGTAAGACCAAGTTCGATAGTGAGCAGATTATAAGTAGGTTGAATGCTGGAGCTAGCGCTAGTGTCACTAGCGGTAATTTATCCATAGTAGAATGCCCATATCGGCAGTGTATGCTGACTGTATGCTGACTACCCCCCCGGCTGAACAGCGGTAAGTTATGCGAACCAATAACGTGAATATATTCAATAATTTCGTGGCGCGCGAAGCACTCACCCGAGAAGAATCCGTGACGACTCCGCATTCTGCGTTTCCTGGTACATTGTTCGATCAGTTGTTGAGCTCAACTTCATGACGTCAACAGAGATCACTATCGAACTCACCAGGACGGTCATCCCTTCCTGTGAGCCAGTAGCTCAATTCTTCCAAAGTACAAGTGCTCGATACTGGGGCGACGCCACACTCTCCCCGGCGACGCTGCTCCAGTAACCAATAGGCATGCATTGAGCCCTTGATGGAAAACCCAGGTGTCTGACTATTATAGCTGAACACTGTCCACGTTATAGCCCAGCCTATATCACATTCAAAGC